AACATTCTTAAAGAAAAGAACTTTCAACCCAGAATTTCATATCCAGCCAAACTGAGCTTCAGAAGTGAAGGAAAAATAAAATCCTTTGCGAACAAGCAAGTACTCAGAGATTTTGTCACCACCAGGCCTGCTTTACAAGAGCTCCTAAAAGAGGCACTACACATAGAAAGGATCAATCAGTACCAGCCATTCCAAAATCACACTGAATGCTAAAGAGCTTCAACATAATGAAGAATCTACAACAACTAACAGGCAAAACAGCCACTTAGCATCAAAATGGCAGTATCAAATTCACATGTAACAATATTAACCCTAAATGTAAATGGACTAAATGCACCAATCAAAAGACACAGACTGGCAAATTGGATAAAAATCCAAAACCCATCAGTGTGCTCTATCCAGGAAACCCATCTCACATGCAAGGATACACAAAGGCTCAAAATAAAGGGATGGAGGAAGATTTACCAAGCTAATGGAAAGCAAAAAAAAAGCAGGAGTTGCAATTCTCATCTCTGATAAAATAGACTTTAAAGCAACAAAGATCAAAAGAGACAAAGAAGGCCATTACATAATGGTAAAAGGATCGATACAACAAGAAGAGCTAACGATCCTAAACATATATGGACCCAATGCAGGAGCACCCAGATACATAAGGCAAGTTCTTAAGGACTTACAAAAGGACTTAGACTCCCACACAATAATAGTGGGAGACTTTAACACTCCACTGTCAATACTAGACAGATCAACCAGACAGAAAATCAACAAGGATATCCAGGGCTTGAACTCAGACCTGGAGCAAGCAAACCTGGTGGACATTTACAGAACTCTCCACCCCAAATCCACAGAATACACATTCTTCTCAGCACCACATCACACCTACTCTAAAATTGACCACATAATTGGAAGTAAAGCACTGCTCAACAAATGCAAAACAACTGAAATCATAACAAACAGCCTCTCAGACCATAGTGCAATCAAGTTAGAACTCAGAATTCAGAAACCGACCCAGAACCGCACAGCTTCATGGAAACTGAACAACTGGCTCTTGAATGTCGACTGGGTAAACAACGAAATGAAGGCAGAAATAAAGAAGTTCTTCGAAACCAATGAGAACGAAGACACAACGTGCCAGAACCTCTGGGACACATTTAACGCAGTCTCTAGAGGAAAGTATATAGCAATAAGTGCCCATATGAGGAGAATGGAGAGATCCAAAATTGACACCCTATCGTCAAAATTGAAAGAGCTAGAGGAGCAAGATCAAAAAAACTCAAAACCCAGCAGAAGACAAGAAATTACTAAGATCAGAGCTGAGCTGAAGGAGATTGAGACATGAAAAACCCTTCAAAAAATCAATAAATCCAAGAGCTGGTTTTTTGAAAAGATCAACAAAATAGACAGACCACTAGCCAGATTGATTAAAAATAAAAGAGAGAACAACCAAATAGATGCAATAAAAAATGATAAAGGGGAAATCACCACAGATTCCACAGAAATTCAAACCATCATCAGAGAATATTACAAACAACTCTATGTGCATAAACTAGTAAAACTGGAAGAAATGGATAAATTCCTGGACTACTGTGTCCTCCCAAGCCTAAACCAGGAGGAAGCTGAAACTATGAATAGACCAATAACAAGGTCTAAAGTCGAGGCAGCAATTAAGAGCCTACCTCACAAAAAAAGCCCAGGTCCAGACGGGTTCACAGCCGAATTCTACCAGACACACAAGGAAGAGCTGGTAACATTCCTTCTAAAACTATTTCAAACAATCCAAAAAGAGGGAATACTTCCCAAATCATTTTATGAGACCAACATCATCCTGATACCAAAACCGGCAGAGACCCAACAAGAAAAGAAAACTTCAGGCCAATATCCATGATGAACATAGATGCAAAAATCTTCAATAAAATATTGGCAAGCCGATTGCAACAGCAAATCAAAAAACTTATTCATCATGATCAAGTAGGATTCATCCCGGGGATGCAAGGCTGGTTCAACATACGCAAGTCTATCAACGTAATTCACCACATAAACAGAACCAAAAACAAAAACCACATGATTATCTCAATTGACGCAGAGAAGGCATTTGACAAAATTCAACAGCCCTTTATGCTAAAAACCCTCAATAAACTCGGTATCGATGGAACGTATCTCAAAGTAATAAAAGCTATTTATGACAAACCAACAGCCAATATCATACTGAATGGGAAAAAACTGGAAGCATTCCCTTTGAAATCTGGCACTAGACAAGGATGCCCTCTCTCACCCCTCCTATTCAATATAGTACTGGAAGTTCTAGCCAGAGCAATAAGGCAAGAAAAAGAAATAAAGGGTATTCAAATAGGAAAGGTGGAAGCCAAATTGTCTCTATTTGCAGATGACATGATAGTATACCTAGAAGACCCCATTGCCTCAGCCCCAAAACTCCTGAAACTGATAAACAACTTCAGCAAAGTCTCAGGATATAAAATCAATGTGCAAAAATCACAAGCATTCGTCTACACCAATAACAGACTTAAAGAAAGCCAAATCAAGAGCGAACTGCCATTCGCAATTGCTACAAAAAGAATAAAATACCTTGGAATACAACTCACAAGGAACGTAAGGGACCTCTTCAAGGAGAACTACAAACCACTGCTCAACGAAATCAGAGAGGACACAAACAGATGGAGAAACATTCCATGTTCATGGTTAGGAAGAATTAATATCGTGAAAATGGCTATACTGCCCAAAGTAATTTACAGAATCAACGCTATCCCCATCAAGCTACCATTGACTTTCTTCACAGAACTGGAAAAAACCACCATGAAATTCATATGGAACCAAAAGAGAGCCCGCATAGCCAAGTCAATTCTAAGCAAAAAGAACACAGCGGGGGGCATCACACTACCAGATTTCAAACTATACTACAAGGCTACAGTAATCAAAACAGCATGATACTGGTACCAAAACAGAGATATAGACCAATGGAACAAAACAGAGGCACCGGAGGCAACACAACATACATACAATTATACAATCTTTGATAAACCTGACAAAAACAAGCAATGGGGCAAGGATTCCCTGTTTAACAAATGGTGTTGGGAAAACTGGCTAGCCATGTGCAGAAAGCAGAAACTGGACCCCTTCCTGACACCTTACACTAAAATTAACTCCAGATGGATTAAAGACTTAAACATAAGACCTGGCACCATAAAAACCCTAGAAGGAAATCTAGGCAAAACTATCCAGGACATAGGAGTAGGCAAGGACTTCATGACAAAAACACCAAAAGCATTGGCAACAAAAGCCAAAATAGACAAATGGGACCTAATGAAACTCCACAGCTTCTGCACGGCAAAAGAAACAGTCACTAGAGTGGATCGGCAACCAACAGAATGGGAAAAAATTTTCGCAGTCTACCCATCTGACAAAGGGCTGATATCCAGAATTTACAAACAACTCAAGCAGATTTACAGGAAAAAAACAAACAAGCCCATTCAAAAGTGGGCAAAGGATATGAACAGATACTTTATGAAAGAAGACATATATGAGGCCAACAATCATATGAAAAAATGCTCATCGTCACTGGTCATAAGAGAGATGCAAATCAAAACCACATTGAGATACCATCTCACGCCAGTTAGAATGGCGATCATTAAAAAATCTGGAGACAACAGATGCTGGAGAGGATGTGGAGAAAAAGGAACACTTTTACACTGTTGGTGGGAGTGTAAATTAGTTCATCCATTGTGGAAGACAGTGTGGCAATTCCTCAAGGCCTTAGAAATAGAAATTCCATTTGACCCAGCAATCCCATTACTGGGTATATATCCAAAAGACTATAAATCGTTCTACTATAAGGACACATGTACACGAATGTTCATTGCAGCACTGTTTACAATAGCAAAGACCTGGAATCAACCCAAATGCCCATTGATAATAGACTGGATTGGAAAAATGTGGCACATATACACCATGGAATATTATGCAGCAATCAGAAATGATGAGTTTGTGTCGTTTGTAGGGACATGGATGAATCTGGAGAACATTATCCTCAGCAAACTGACACAAGAACAGAAAATGAAACACCGCATATTCTCACTCATAGGTGGGTGATGAAAAATGAGAACACATGGACACAGAAAGGGGAGTACTAAACACTGGGGTCTATTGGGGGGAAAACGGGAGGGCCAGTGGGAGGGGGAGGTGGGGAGGGATAGCCTGGGGAGAAATGCCAAATGTGGGTGAAGGGGAGAAGAAAAGCAAAGCACACTGCCATGTGTGTACCTACGCAACTGTCTTGCATGCTCTGCTCATGTACCCCAAAACCTATAATCCAATAAAAAATTAAAAAAAAAAAAAGAAAAAAAAAAGTATAGAGTATACAAAAGCACATTGAGGCCTTACTTTTGGGGCCAGAACTATGTAGGCTACAATCATAACTAAGGACTATCTATACAGTTTCAAATATTGGTTATTGTTATATTTTCCTGGAAAGATAAATTTGACAGTGAAATTATTGGTTGAAAAATTTATAATGAAAAATTTTCTAATACCTGTAGTTTATGTTATTAAATTGGAAAAGGAGTTAGAGCAAAACAACAACTTTGGTGTAACAGGTAATACTGAAGTATGATAACTTCAACCTGTCCAATATCTTTTCCATTTAGGATGACAGTTAATTTGCTAGACCTGTTAACCTAATTAAACCTACTCTGTGTGTGTGTTTGTGTGTGTGTGTGTGTGTGTGCGCGCGCACCTCATAGTATTAACAATGAATGCAGTAGCCTCCAATTATCTGCTGGGGATATGTTCTGCGACCCCCCAATGAATATCTAAAACCACAGAAAGTACCAACGCTTTCTATATATTTTTTTCTATACATACATATCTATGATAAAGCTGAATTTACAAATTAGGCACAGTAAAAGATTAATAACTAATAAAATAGAACAATCATAAGAATATACTGTAATAAAAGTTATAGAAATGTGATCTCTCTCTCACAAAATATCTTTTTTTTTGGTTTCCAATAAATTTATTTAATCAGAACTTCAAAGGGTTCTAGAAACTTGCATTTTTAACAAGCACTGCAGATGATTCTAGGTTTTCATTAAAAGTTTGATTCAGGTAAGCAACTTTACCCTTAATTGTGTGTCAGATTACATATAGAGTAAAACAAAAAGCCGTGTAATGGAACAAAAAATTGCTTTATACAAAATAGTAGTAAATACAATTGGTCTTAAAAATAAAATCATATATATATAGTTGTATTCCTAAGTACAGCAGTGCCTCACTCATTCCAAGTTTCCTTTCTGTGGTTTCAGTTACCTGTAGTCAACTACATTCGAAAATAGGTGAGCACCGTACACTGTATAAGAAGGTATTTTGAGAGCAACAGAGACCAACCACATTCATGTAACTTTATTACAGTATGTTATCATTGTTCTATTTTATTAATCTCTTGTTATGCCTAATTTATACATTACACTTTATCATCGGTGTGTATATATAGAAAAAAGGTGTATAAAGGTTTGGTACTATCTGAGGTTTCAGGAGTCCACTGGGGGCCTTGGGATGCATCCCCTGAAGATAAGGGGAAACTACTGTATGCAAAATCGAAAGCTATACAACAATTAAAAACATTGAGAGAGCAAATCTAAGTATAAGTGAAGACATTCCTCTGAATTCCCAGGTTTCATCGAGCATCAAAAACGACCAATCTTTTAGTCCTTTTCTTGTACATTATTCTGTATCTACATTCTCTGCATCTGATTGGATCCCTAGATTTTATTTCATTTTCTGTGTGACATTCTCCACAGATATATATCATTGGTTGCTGCTTTGGAGGTTGAACATCCTTCTGAGTGTCCATTGTTAGCCCGCAACACGGGAAAGTTTCTCCGCATTTCCAAACACAATCTCACACAAAATATCTTGTACTGTACCATACACACCTATTTTCAAACCATGGTTGACTATGGATAACTGAAGCCATAGAAAAGAAAACCATGGCTAAGAGGAGACTACTGTGTAGTCAAATAGATATTATAGCAACTTACTGCATCAAAGGAAAGGGTTACTTCCTTAAATCATATGCAGTAACCCTGAAAAACACTTTTTCTCATGACTCACTGATGTGTGTTTTATTTTTGTAATGTCTTCTGAAAACCTAAGGTCACATCAGCCAATGGCTTGCTGATGAAAATTTCTGTCATTTGAAAAAGAAAGTTCATAAACCAAATTTTAGCTATGACTGTGTTTTTCTCAATTTGATTGTATTTAGATTCAAGGAAGATTATTTCAAATGTTTTGGATAATATAAGATTTAGTTACTACTTTGAACTCAAATAATGCAAACACAAATTTGTTATTTGTAAAACTTATTTCTATGCTTTATATTCACTCTGATTCTATGTAATTAACCATATTCTATTGTAAAAGTTGAATAGACAGTATAAATAATATCACATTCATAAAAAAAGTCTTCCGTAATTTTTTTCCTTATTATGTTTAAATTGTAAAAAGATACATTATATATATATATATATATATATATAATTTTTTTTTTTTTTTGAGACAGAGTTTCGCTCTTGTTACCCAGGCTGGAGCACAATGGCGTGATCTCAGCTCACTGCAACCTCCGTCTCCTGGGTTCAGGCAATTCTCCTGCCTCAGCCTCCTGAGTAGCTGGGATTACAGGTACGTGCCACCATGCCCAGCTAACTTTGCTTATATTTTATAGTGAATATCCTTTAGGGAAGTATTTCTCTTATAAAATACATAATTATAACCAAAAATCTTTAATTATAGGGTAACTGCAAACATTCTAGAAGATACATTCAGAATATGTTCATACAACTTTCATGAATTCTTTTTACCAAAGATACTCTATATTATCTGAAGTTTAATTATCTTATCTTACTCAGTCTCTTCTCTGTATACTAGAATAAAAGAAGTACTGGGAAGTTATTCATGAACAAGGCCATCAAAAGGGAGAAGGCAAGCTTTTGTTTTATTTTGTTTTGTTTCTTTAATCACTCTCATGTAGGTCTTGTCTGTTTCCTTTTACACTGTGTATATAAAGGACGAGTGATTTTGCCCAGAGGGACATTTTGAAACATTTTTTATCACGGAAAACTTAGAATCTATTCACAATAAGAAAAAAATAGAGTAAAACTACCCCACATAGCAAACATTCAGCTTATGTAATTATCAACTCATGGATAACGTTTCATTTTCACCCTTACCTGCTTCCCCAATGCATCAGATTTTTCGTAGCAAATTCCAGATACCATATCACTTCATCTGCACATATTTCAGCATGTATTTCTAAAATGTTATTTTCTTTTAAAACAAATGCATAGTTGCAATTCTACTACCAAGCTTTTAAAACTTTGCCAATAAATGTAAAAATGTCTCTAATTTAAAAAAAGAAAACTGTTTGAATTGAGATGCTAGTCCACTCATTGCATTTAGTAGGTATATACCTTTTCTATTTGATCTATAGATTTTACCTATAAATTTTCATCTTTAATTTTGATCGATACACTTAGCCTCCCTCTGTTTTTCATATATATATATATAAATGTATATATGTGTGTGTGTGTATATATATATGTGTGTATGTATATATATATGTATGTACCCTGTTATATGTATATATATGTATATATACCGTGTTATATGTATATATATGTGTGTGTATGTATATATGTGTATATATATATACATATAACAGGGTCATTCATTCTGTAGTGTTTTCTGCAGTTTGAATTTTGATGACTGTATCCTCAGATACCAAATAGGGTAAGTGTTTATTACCCTTTACTTGCCATTTAAAAAATAATGAGCTGATTTCCTTGAAGAATAACAATAAATTTTTTGTATGTATTATAAAGCTATATACATATTTTAAGGGTTTCAATCTTGGAGGTTATTATTATCATTTTTGAAATGGAGTCTTGCTCTGTTTCCCAGGCTGGAGTGCAGTTACATGATCTTGGCTAACTGCAACCTCTGCCTCTCAGGTTCAAGTGATTCTCCTCTCTGTCTTCTGAGAAGCTGGGATTACAGGCTGCCCGCCACTACACCTGGCTATTTTTTGTATTTTTAGTAAAGATGGGGTTTCACCATGTTGGCCAGGCTGGTCTCAAATTCCTAACCTCAACTTATCTGCCCACCTCGGCCATGCAAAGTGCTGGGATAACAGGTGTGAGCCACTGTGTCTGGTCTATTTTTTTTTTATGCACACATAGCCCCATTTTTGTTGTGTGGAAGCCTTTTCGATTGACTTTAGTATCTTTTTGATATGTTCTTAATGGCTTCAATAGTTTCCTTACTTTCTGATACGACATTCTGGGCTCTAGGTTCGTTTGGCACCCAAGGCCTGAGTGATATCAGCTATTTTCCCAGGAAACACTGATTCATTCTGAAAGGAAATAGTACATAGAGACTACAATCCAAATATTGGGGAGGGTACTTATCACTGCTACTGGATCAGTTCTTATTTTTAGGATTTGTTTTTCAGTAGAGAGAAATAGAGTTGTTTTTCTTTAGAGATAAAAAGTATAATGCATTCATACAGATATTTTTAATTCAAATTTAGCACTGCAGAGTGTTTACTTAAACACACCTATGTATGTCTGTTTCTCCCATCATCTACTCCAAAATTTCTGGTTTCCAAGGACAAGTTAATAGCTTATATACTTTCTACGATGTATATATACAAAATTCTTAGAATAGCAATAGTGAGTAATATTACTGATAAAATATGCTTATATAAAACATTTTAAGATTTTTTGATAAAATATATTTTGTCTCAGGGCACAACATAATAGAGATGGCTAACAAAATTATTTGTGTTTTTAAAAATTCATGTTAATAAACTATCATTAACATGCAATAATATTGACCCATTTGTTGCAGTTACGACAGAGGTTTAAGCTCTACCATAATCAATACAAAAATCATCACCTCACAATTTCCCTTAGATCTTTTTGTAGTTGAACTTCCTCACCTCACTCCACCCATAGTCCCAGATATTAACCGATGTACTTTCTGTTACCACAATTTTACTTTTTTAAAAATTTCATGTATATAAATTAAGATTGAATATTATTCATAGAGTAATATTTTTTCTCCTCTATTCCCTCAACAGGATGTTTTGGGGATTCATCCATGTTATTACTATCTCCTTTTAGTAGCTAAATAGTATTCTATTTTATGAATATAGAGCAGCTTGTTTACATGCTTTCTTGTTGATGATCACTTCGGCTGTTTCAAGGTTTTGGCTATTAACATATTAACTGTAACAATTTATTATTCTTTTTTTTCTTTTTCCATTGTTGTTTTGATTATGATACATTTTTTGTATTCCCATATACATCTTAGAATCAGCTTGTCAATTTCTTTGAAATTGTCTATTGGGATTTTCATTTTGAATTTGTAGCTACTGTAGCTGAAGTTGAGGAGAATAGATATTCTAAAAAATTGAATCTTTTGATCCTTTGTAGTTTACAGTGAACAATTTTTACACATATTTTGCCAAACTTAATTCCAAAACATTTCATATTTTTGATGCTAAAATGTCAATTGAAGGAGTCCAATTCATATTTGACAATTAATCTTGGTTTCAACAGATTTGGTAACCTCGTGTATTAGTTCTAGTAACTACGTTATCACCTGTATATACAATCTTATTTTTTCCAACCTGTATACTTTTTAATTTCCTTTCCATACTTTTTAAACTAGATAGTACCTTCAGTAAAATGTTAACTATAAGTAATAAGAGTGGATATTCTTGCTTTATTTTCATTTTGGGGTAAGTATTCAGTCTTTCCTCATAAAGTATTATGTTATTAATAAGCTATATTTTAAGGTGCCCTAAAGTTTGAGAAAATAATGTTTTATTGGCAGTTTTCTACTCATATCGTTACTGTTATATTGATTGTTTTTTTATGGTGGGTGTGTGATTATTTTGTCAAAATTTTTTTCTGCATTTCCTGGGATGATCATATGTTTTTACTATTTAGCAATAAAATCAAGTCTATAAAATAAATAGTTTTAATTATATCACTTTTAGAATAAGAGTAGAATCACATTCGACTCATGATGTGATTAGCAAGTTAATCTGAACAGGTTCATCTTAAAAATATATAAATACAATGGGTGAAAATTATAGTCCAGTAATAAAAGTAAGAAAAAAAATTAAAGAATGGTTTAAACATTATATTAGACATGGCCAGATTAGAAAACTAGAAGATGTTGAATGAAAAGAGGTGGAAATATGAAAGAATATATGAAAAATTAAGAACTATGGATCCAAAATATTTCTAGTCAGAATACTAGAAAGAACAAATAGAATGGAGAAGAGTCAACATAAAAAAATGCTTATGTTTGAGAGTTTCCCAGAATTCTTGTGAAACATGAGTTCTCAGGTTTATAAGTAAAAGAAATTCCAAGGCAAGATTAAAATTTACATACCCAGATATTTTGTTATAAAATTGTATTTCCTAAATGGGGAATCAACAAAACTAGGAAATGCACAAATACTATTAGAAGTGAAAGGCTCAAAGCTAATGACAAGCAATTTAATAAATCATTAAAGGATACTATTAATAAATTTCTACATTAATATTTTAATCTTACTAGCAATAAAATGGATTAAAAACCTGAACAACAAATGACAATTAAGACAACAAAAGTAATAGGTTAAAAACTGCTCCTCTCCAAATCTTCTTCCGAAATTGGCCAATAATGCTCATTTGGGATGATAGGCAATTTCTACCAGTCTTACATAAAGCATGGCAGACACTTTAAATCAAGAAACTCACTGATTCATCTAACCATTCTCTTATAAACCTGATATAAAACACAACATCAGCGAGAAAAAGGAAAATATGTTCCAGTATCATTCATGAACATGGATGAAAACATCTTCAACAAAATTAAACGTACCGAAACAACTGGTTATCAAAACAAAGAAGAAAGGAAAGCAGAAAGAAAACAAAAAGCCAGGAAGGTAAGCTAAACTAATATTGGTTCTATCCTTACACTATACAAAAAATT